ACCACCAGACGCAGAAGGCACAGCGGTGCTACGATGGCAACGCCTGTCACGTCCAACACTGCCATCGATATGAGACCCCAAGGAGAGTTGACCTTCTCCCGACCAACCTTCACCCAGTAAGCAGAATCTTCTCTTATAAATAGCCTCCAGGGGCACACCAGAAGGTATCTTATGTATCGTTGTTATGCCCATTTATATTAAGTCACATATTTAACCATCATTCCTCCATTGTTATTAACTTGTTATACTTGGAATCCTACCATCTAGCCTGGTCTTTACCTAAGCTAGTGGTATCATCCATATAGTGACAACCCCTCAAAGAAAACATAGTGGGTTTATAGATTCCAACGGTACACGTTTGATAAAGTTTATTTTGTAAAAAATAGTTTAAAAACTGTAACTGTTTTTATGTTTTTAGAATCAAATTTAGAGAATATGTCTGAGTTATTTTTGTTTGTTTTGGTTTTTATTTTCAAAACAAAAAAATCACAAAAAACAACTGTTTCTATAACTATTCTACAAAACAGTTTTAAGAACAAAAAAAAAAACAGAACACAATCAAACAAGCCATTAAGTTCAAAAATAGAAATTTTAACTTGTTTGGGAGTTAGTTTTAGGAGGGAAAGGTAAGAGAGGAGAGAGTTTTATTAATCCTTTTCCTTGTTTGTGAGTACGGGTGATAAACGAACCAGGGGTCTTTGGCTCGGCTCGTGAGAGCTTTAGCTTACCTGCCTAATATTGATTGTTGGAACCAAACTTAGACTTGTATTAACGCTCGTTTAATAAAAAGGTCTCAGACTCCAAATCAAAAGTTCGACCTTATAGACTCTCAAGCTGGCCTAGTATATTAATTTTTATTTTTATTTTATATTTTTTATACTATTTGTAATAGCTCTCTCTCTTCAATCCATTTCACCTAATTTTACTAGTTAAACAGACTTTTTGAATAATTTTGTTCTATATTATGTTGTTTGGATATACATTGAATTTATGAATATTTATGAAATTATTAGTGTTGTTGATTGTACATTCTGTTTGGATAAACTTTTATCGTCTTATTTTTTTTCAAACAGACTAACAGGCTCGATCAGGCTTTTACTTTTCGTAACAGGTTTGGTCAGGTTGACACATTTAAACACATGCTTAGCCTTTTAAAACCAAAGTTCGGCTCGGCTCAGTCCATTAACACCCTTATTTTTTGAGTTTAAAAAAGTGAGGCGAAAGAATTGAGGAATTTCACAAAATCCTCTAAAATACTTCTTATTCTTAAAATTAAAGTTTTCTAAATTTGGGGGGTTTTAACTCCCAAACAAGAAGATGGAATACCTTTCATTTTTTTTTCTTTCTCTCTCCTCCCCTCCCCTCCCTTCTCTTCCATTTCATTTTTTTTTCTTTCTCTCTCCTCCCCTCCCCTCCCTTCTCTTCCATTCCAAACTCTCAAACAAAGCCATTTTTTAAAATTAAGTATGGGAAGAAAAAACAAAATAAAAAAAGCAGTTGCATTTTTTAACAAAAAAAAATAAAATACAAGGGATAAATGTTGAACTAACTACAATTCAAGAAAACTGCACACCCTTGCAATTAGCCATGAAACTAGGAGATATAAAAGATGACAAATCATTTAATAAGTGCATCCCCAAAGGAAAGAAACGGCTCGTACAGGAAAGTGCCTCCTTAAAATGTAACTATAACACATATGTCATCAGAGTGGTTATTTGTAACAACAATTCTTCATGATACCATTTTAGTTAATTATTAAATCAATACTAATTAATTACAATTGCTATTAATTAAGATTTATTGTATTTATTGCATTATTGTATTCAATTATATTTATTTTAATCAATTAGGATTAAACTCATATCAATTAGTTGTTACTGATGTCAATTAAGACTATATTATAATCAATTAGATTGGGCTGATATCAATCGATTGAGATCGATATCAATTAAGATTATCACTATTTATTATCCTTAACGTTTTATCGTATTATTATTTTTTTTTGTAATATTTTATCGTATTATTTATGTTATAAAGACATGTGATTGAATGAAATAAAGAAAGAGAAAAATGTTATTTCATCTTAATTATTTCATCTAAATCAATCTCTCATTCTTGTATTTTTCACCTCCCTATGTCAATTAAATTCCTTTATTCTGTCTCCATCTAGCACAATTATCCTAATTTTCTCTCTACATATCTTCTCAATAAAAGCACCATAAGAGAAGGCGGGAAAAAATTGGGAGAATTGTGAAAGATATGAAGAAGAACAGATAATTTGATTGATAGGGGAGGGGATAATATAAGCACAGAGATTAATACGGGAAGATAAGAATTGAAAAACAATTTAGAGAAAATAATTTTTTTTTCTTTATTTCATTCAACCATGCGAACTTTTATAACAAGAATAATATAATAAATCTTAATTGATATCAATTATAATTAATTAATATTAATTTAATAATTAACTTAAATTATATAGATTGTAATGGATGATCGTTGGAGTCCATGGCTCTTCCAGGGTTTCCTAATATGGAATTGTGATGCTGGTCCTTGCGAATAACATAATGCACTATCTTCCTTCAATTATTTGAGCAATACATGACAAAGTAAAAAGGGAAAAGATGACCAATTTTATCGTTTTCACCTTGTAGGAACTACGGGATAACCCAAAAATAATTGTTATATTATTTATTGTTATCAGAACTCAATAGATAAATTTTTAATAGTAAATAGTTATACATGAATATTAATTTCAATATATGTAAGGCTTTTAAAATATGTTTAAAAAAAATTGAAGTTTATATTCTGAATATAATTGGTACAGGTCCCTTTCTTTAATTTTTCTTCAAAAATGGATTTTTTTTATTTGTTTTATACAAATTTGAAATGTTTGGTTAAATTGTTGAATATTGTACACATCAATTGAATTTATTTTTAAACTCAACAATTTCAGTACGTAAAGTTATATTTGTTTGTTTTTAGTCAATTTCCGATACTATTTCCAGGAATTATATATGACTTCATTAAAATCCCAAACTTGCGACTGTAGCCTATGAATTATGGTTAAAAAAAACCTGTAGCCCATGAATAAACAATTAAAAAACAAATCTCTAACTGTAGAAACAGAAATGTATATCATAAAAATAGTTTTCTATTTTAAATGAGTTTTCATGGTCACCAAGTTGTTTTAAATAATTATCATTATCATAGTGCTACATGTTTAATTAGATTTGCAGCGAAAATATTGTTACATGAAAGAAAATGGACAAGTGTCGCCCAAAGAATTAAAATAGGAGGGGGACAAGCGTGGTGGTTGGTTCTAGTTCTGGTAGAAACACACGTGAATGTCTCATTGATCAACGCCTTGACAAATGTCTTAACCTGAAAAAGAAAAACAAAACAAAACTTTGGCATACAGCAGCAGCGTACATAAACTTACACATGGCTGTGACTTGTAGAATCTGAGTAATTATCATTGAAAATGATTTGTTTCTATATTAAAAAATTAAAAAAAAACAACGAATTTTTTTCCTAAAAAACCAGTGCTCTTAAATTCGAATTATGAGTACACAATTATATTAAAAATTTGATGAAGAGAATTTTGTTACTTTTATAATCTGCCCAATTCAACTCGATTAGTTGAAGAGAATTTTGTCGCTCTTGTTGATATGCGTGATTTAACTAGATTAGCTGATTAATTGATAAATTGAAGATTTTTTTTTTCTTCTTATAAAGTAGTCACAAACAATTTAGAGTAAATATCAGCAAATTTCACGATACTCGCTTTAGTTCCTAGCAAATAAAAAGATTATTTGTGGTCCTTAAGAAATTCAAAATGGATCCATTTAGTTAAAATCGTGGTCTCTTATAAATTCAAAAAAGACCTATATTACTCCTTCAAAAGAACTAAAATTGATCCATTTTTAATTTTTTTAAAGACCACGAATAATTTTTTTACTTGTTAAGAACTAAAGCGGATATTGTAAAATTTACTGAGAACCGAAAAATATATTTACTCAATAATTTTATGAAGTAATTTTTAAATTAACATATTTTATATCAAAAGAAGGTTGTAACGAAATTTTACTAATATCTTTTTTTTGGGAGCAAAACTGATCATACTTGTCATACACTTATATCAAAATCAAACCATGCAGATAATTAAGCAGTTTCTTTCTTTTATCTTTCGACCAAAAAGAAAAGTAACAAAAGTAGATGCCCTTTGAGCTGTTAAGAGCAGACTTCAAAGTTAAAATTTTTTATTAATGAAAAAGAAAAACATACTCAACCCTTTTGTCAGATTACGAATTAGACAGCACAAATCCCAACGTTAATTCACAGTAATCAAACGGGAAGGAGAGCATTATGCGTTGCGCACACGATGCAATAGCGCTACAGAAGATCCGGTCCACAATTCTCTCATATCATCATATGGGGATATGTGGACGGAGAGAGAGAGAGAGAGTGCATAACAGTAGATAACAGAGGAGACAAGATCATGGGATCTGTATGTTTTTATTGCAGAAGCCGTGCAAATGTGGATCATGCAAATCCTCTCCCTCCAAAATAAAAACAAAAAACAAAAAAGAAAAAGAAAAAGAAAAGAAAAGCAACCATTGCTATCCCATCCATCAATTTCGTGACATCTCAAAAAAGCAACCAACCCCTTCAAGTTTTCAATTTTTGTTTAGCTCCTCAAATCGTGTTTATCTCATAAATCTTATCCAAGCCAAATCAATCTTTTAATTAACCAATTAGCTTTTTTTGATATTAACATTGATTACTAAAAGGGTAAAGCTTTGTCCCTTTGTGCCAACATGGACTTGAGCGTGCCAGTGTCGGCTTCTTCGGTTGGACTTTGAAGTGTCAAGTAAACTAAACTAAAAGTTACAAAACTAATCAAATTGACTGAGTGTGATTAGGGAGAAAATGTTAAATTACAGTGCAAGTCACTTTCTCTCAACACAGAACTAATAAAGGTAGAGTGTGTAGCAGCTATAAGGGTATAGGGTAGAGTGTGTCTATTCTAAAGGCAGGAGGAGTATCTTTAGGGGAGGGTCAGCACAGCATGCTTTACTTCCTGTGCTAAACAACCTAACGTTATTTTTATGAGAGCTCTCATCTCAGGGTTGCGTGCATTATGCTCTAATTCCGTTCCTGTTTTCTGTTCTGTTCTGTTCTTGGGGTTGGCCAAGGGGAATCTCTCTGGTTTTTATCACCCTGTGTCTCTTTTTTGCCTCTTCTGAAATATAAACCCTTTTCTCTACTTAAAAAGGGGAAAGAGAGAGAGAAAGCTGGTGAACCCACTAAGCGTGCAAATAAAAGACTTATAGCTCCTTAAAGCAAAGCTAGATTACCATCCCATGCTATTATAGCTCCCTCCACCTTTGCTTTTGGTGTGTTTTTATTTTTTTCTTTCTTTCTCTTGGTGGGGTTTCTGTTGAGCTGTGTTGATATTTGTGTTCGGACTTAACTGCTACCTTAGTCTGTCTATTCAACGTTTTCCAGTGGCCGAAACTTTTTAAGGTTTATTGTAGGCTCTGCTAGCCGTTGGCTTAGATATCAAAGGTTGAACCTTGTTGCAAAGAAGCTATTGTTTTTGACAAGATGTGGTATTTCGTGGACTTAAGCTGTGGTTAGACCTTATAAAGGGTATGTCAACTGAACCTATCTTCTCTGATACTTTCATTTGATGTCTATTTCAGTTCATCCGTTGTGTGGTTTTAAACCAGAGTTTTGTTTTTGACTTTTTTTTTTGGGTCTCTTAAACAGGTTTTGTTGCATTAACCAGTGGGGTTCCTCAATTTTTTTTTTCTTACATATATTTGGTGAATAGTACGAAGAGCAAGGGCATATCCTTTTGAGATTCTTGCAAAAGGGTGTTGTTTATTTTGTGGCATTAGTGATGGGAGAAAGGTCAAGAAATGAGGTTTCTCCTCAGCTGCTGGATTTGATCTCAAATGAGAGAGAGTGGCAGATGAACAGAAACGAAGGAAAGTCTTCAGAGGAGAGGAAGCTTGAGTTGAGGCTTGGTCCACCTGGTGAGGACTGGTCTCTCAATGACAAAATGAAGAAAGGAAACACAGAAGAAAGAGATGAGTCTCTACTCTCTCTTGGTTACCTCTCTACCTTGCCTCATGCAATCATGAGCTCCAACAATGGATTCCAAAGCCATAATATTTCTACCTCTGACACCCCTTGTGGGGCTATGTTGCCCTGTCCATGGGCTTCCACAGGCTACCAACAGGGTAACAAAGCTTCATCATTTCTTCAGTTTCCCTCAAGCCAGCCTGTGATGGGAAAAGATTCTTCCCAAACCTGTTGCCCTAAGGTGGTAGAGTTGCAGAATGGTGATAAGAAAGTTTTCTCTCCCTCTTCTGCAAATACAGCTGTTCCCAACAGCTCTCAGAAAAGGTACTCCAGCTTTTCTATCTTGTATCTATGTTTTGTAACTTTTAGACAGAGGATATTCATTCCCAGAGAGTCACGTTGTTTCATATATTATGTGGTCCATGCAAGCTTCTGCTGTTTCTTTCTACATGTTACCGTATAATAGATCTAGCGTTACTAACCCCTTGTTGCACTTCTCAGTGTAAGAATCAACCATCATGTTTTTTTTTTTTTTTTTTAATTACAATATTCTTTTTATTAACTGGCATGGACAGTCCTCATCCACAAAAAGGAAAGGGGTAATTTTTAAGCTTTGATCCCTGTATTCTGTACTGGCTGTTTTTGTTCTGTTATACTTTGCCATGTTTGCTTCTGAGATGTCTACGTTGGAATTTTTATGCTATTTATTATTTATTATCTATTCTCCTATCCGAGTTTTAACATTGGCATGTGAATATCTGACCCTGTCTCTATGTCCCCTCTCCTCTCTCTCTCTCTCACCCTATACTATTTTTGCTTGTTGATATAAATAAAAATATATATACGAATTTTAAATATGAGAATTGATGAGTTATTGCAGGGTTATGTTAGTATAGTACGCTCTTTATCCCCACAACATATATTCTTTTTAAACTTAGCTTTGGTTTTTTTATTTGTTTTTCACTGTTCACATTCATGCCTAACTTTCCATATGGACCCACCAAAAACAGAACTGCTCCAGGTCCAGTAGTGGGTTGGCCTCCAATTCGTTCGTTCAGGAAGAACCTTGCAAGCAGCAGCACTTCAAAGCCACCTCCTGAGTGCCAGCATCAGCATGACAAGGTTGCTGGTAAAAAATCTGTTGAAAACTATGGTAAAGGTTTATTTGTCAAGATCAACATGGATGGAGTTCCAATTGGGAGGAAAGTGGACCTCAATGCTTATGACAGCTATGAAAATCTCTCCTCTGCAGTTGACGAGCTCTTCAGTGGCCTCCTTGCCGGTGATTTTTTTGACCCTTAATTCAATGATTGTGCTCATGCGGTCAAATTATTCACAATTGTTTATTCTCTTAATAGACATAAATGTTCCTAGTGTGGAAATTTTTTTCTTTTCTAGCGATAGCTACCCAACTAGAGACATGTTTGTAAATTTATTACTAGCTATGTGCTTGGGGTTGGCTACATTAATTCAACATTTAATGCTTATGGTCAATCTTTTTCACCAAACAAAGTTTTTAATGCAAAATTTCTAATTGGCCCTTCAGACCATTTTGTTTCAATTTATTTTTTCCACGTTTGAGTTCACTTCCACTTTGTGACAATGAAACTTGGTGCATTAATGAAGTTATCTCATTTTGTCTTTTTCGCTGGTGTTCAGCTCAAAGAGATTCCTCTGCTGGTGGAGTTCACAACAAGCAAGAGGACGAGAAAACTATTACGGGTTTAATGGATGGAAGTGGGGAGTATACTCTTGTTTATGAGGATAATGAAGGAGACAGGATGCTTGTTGGGGATGTGCCATGGCAGTAAGCATCTTATCTCTATCGATCTTATGCACTATTATTTTATTTTATTCAATATTATATTCCATCACTAATGCGCGAGGGCCAATGCCAAATTAACATTTTGTCCTACGAACTGTACTAGCGATTGGCTATAGATTCCTTGTGCTTAAAATTTACTACATATATTTATGTCAAACGAACCTTTTTGCCTAATGTTATGAATAAATCCGAAGCACTACATGCCATGGCTTGTCTGTTTTTCACATGAAAACACTTGTACGATTGTCCCCTCTTAGAAATACAAATAAACTATGAATAACTCTTGCAATTGGCTTTTCCTTTTATTTTTTAATGTTTTACTTATTCATAGATAACTATGGCTGGCATCAAAGATAGCTATTATATGTTTTTTTATTTTATTTTTAATGTCTATGCTTGGCAGCATGTTCGTATCAACAGTGAAGAGGCTGCGGGTGTTGAAGAGTTCTGAGCTTTCTGCTTTTACCCGTGAGTTGGAATCCTATGATTTAATTAGAAAAGCTAGTGTTAGAGAGATACAAAAGATACAAAATAATTAATTAAGTCTCACCAAATGCCGTAAGTTTTTGGGCTTTGATATCATGATAAGCGTCACTTCAACCCAAAATCTTTAAGGCATTTGGCCAAAGGCTTTGATACCATGACAAGCGTTCTTCAATCCAAAACCTTAAGTTCAACCCAAAACCTTAAGGCATTTGGTGAAATTTAATTGATTATTTTGTATCTCTCTAACATCTAGTTCATTATTTTCCCCCTTCCCTTGTTTTGCTTTGGTTTTGATTAGAGATTTGAAGAAATGCTCTTGTTTTCAGGTGGCAGTAAGCAAGACAAGGTATCACTTGACTCAGCAATGAAATGAAAGGCATGCAGTTTGAGGTCTTACTTTTCTGCTGAAAGTTTAAGACTGTTCTAATTTGACGTTTTGGTTCTTTTCTCCGATGAAGATGGTGGAATGAAACTTGTAGCTCACATTACAACTAAGTAATGCGTCTGGATGTATCTTGTTTGTTATGAAAGATTTGAATTGTTTATGTATTGTATAAATAGGGAAGGAAAACTTCACGGATGTCTGTACTCATGATTTACTGTTGAGTAACCATTAACTTGTTTTGGTTTGTATTTGAAGTCCCTTTGTACGGGTTATTGCAATTTCCTAATAATTTTCATGTTCAACGTTAAAAAGTCCCTTTGTATGGGAAAATTGAGAATGAATTCTCTCGTGAAAAGTTTTCACATTATCATATTATGTGGAAGGCAATAATTTATTATAGATAGAATAATGGTTATTATTGTGAAATGATAAAATAAAAATTATTATTCTAATTATTGACAATTGATATGTGAAAAAATAACTGTTGAGAAATTTGTTTTGCATGGTGGTATAATTTCCTCTCGAAAGTTAAATAGGTTACTCAACTTTTAATTGGACGAATCTTTCAAATTGGAGAACAACAGTATTTAAATTTTCTTTTTAAACTTTTGCTCGACGCAAAGGTGACGTTTACAGCGTTGATGTCACTTTTGAACGAAGCAACATATTCTTCTTGCTCACGGATGGCTTTGACAAAATTCTAAACAAGCGGGCCAAAGGTTAACCATTTATTCCAAGGCTTAACTGCTACTACAAAACTAATGTATTAAGTCAAACAAAATATATATTTATTTTCAGAATTTTATAATTCAAGATAAAAAGTGCCTTCCCGGTTAAGAAATATACGATTAATGTTGAAAAGCCGCCTCATTTTTTTAAAAGATGCAAACGTTGAACAATTTCCAACCACGTACAAAGTATAATTGTTATGCTACGTTAGTAGAATGACTTTCATTATATTGGTATAAGGACATGTCACGTGTATAGTTTTGTTGAATGTGTGGACACACTCCGTTCGGACCGGGTAAAATATCTTTGATGAATTGAGTAAAGGGTGAGGGAGGGGCAATACTAATAGTAATGCCAATAAAGGGAAGTGAAGGGAGCATTGCATCTATGAGTCCGGCCATAAGTAGAAATGCCTTATAACAGAAAGCGATTTGAGGAGAATTGAGTAGTCGTTGTCGTTGAGAGGTGCCTAACTTGGATGGCTGCCCAAAAATGAGACTAAAGTCTCACTCTAGACCAATGTATGTGGGGGGGAAGAAGGGTAAACTGATCTGCTCGAGGAGACAAATGGACAAATACATTCTATAACTTTGCGTGACTTAACCGTACATACATGTGTATGTCGTCCATACCTTCTTCTAAAGGGAGTTGGTGCCTTGGTGGTATAATTTTTTTTATTTTATTTTATAAGATTCCTCTATCAATTCATCAATCACTCGATAGATTAAGTTTGAGTTAGGCAGGATCACAATGGCAATAAAATTCTCCTTATCAAGTTTTTAACACAATTATGTGTCGGGATTAGAATAATCTCGTACTAATTGATCCAATTTCATTGTGTAGTTGGTGGTGTAATCTAGAGGCTGAACATTGATGCTCACAAACTTGGTAGTTGTTAGAAGTTAGAACCCAATTCTGGGATCTATAATGATAATGATACAGGACTTGGTTTGAATTGGATCATTCCGGTATCAGCTGATGGGCCATGCTTCCTGACCCAATAACTCTTTTTAAGTATAGCTCCTTTACAAAAGCTTGGAATGTCGCAGCAACCGGTGATTGATTGATCATTTCAATTATAGTTTATCAAGTTGATCCAACCGAAAGATAATCCACCCCAAAACTCACCCTAAAATTCAAATATAAATTACGAATGATGAAAAAAATATATACTGTCATATCATAATTATCATTACTGTTTTACCATCAAAATTAAACCAGGAGTAGAATTTAAAGAATATATTATTCCATTATCATTTCAGTTTTAATCAAACACCTATCAATAGACGTTTCTTCCTGAATTGGCTCAACTTAGGAGATTTGTGTATAAGTGATTTGGTGAACTTGAAATTTCTCTCGTTATCATATTTCTCGAAGTCTGTTAATCCTCTACCAAAAAATAGGTCTATCTTGAGATACATGAGTTGGGTATGCAACTCAAATGGCATAGAGGCCCTGAAAGCATGTGAAGTGCATGAACACAGAGATGAGACTGAGAGATACGTGTCGGCAAATAGTAGACGCATTTTTTTAGGGCAGGCATATACATCAGATCAGCACTCGAATAGTGTGGTTCGGTCCATTTTCAGTTACGGTGAGTGGATGTTACGAATTAGGACCAACCAACACGAAACACAATTTCCAATATGAAATCATTGATTTTTCCGCGCAACGACACTTTTGTATTCTAATAATGTTATAAGGTATATATATATATATTAATGTGATAATTGAAAATCACAAGGGGATAGTGTCTCCCCTTGTTTCCCACTTCCCATCTCTCGCCTTTGACAATTAGACTAGTGCAACTCTCATATACTCATATATGCCCCGCCCCCCTCTCTTTTTTTTTTTTTTTTTGAGTTAATAATATATTAGGCCAGCTTTCTCATATTCTCTCATATATGCTTTTAAACACTAAAAAGTTGCCCTTTTTTTGTTTGATTTACAATTTTACCATAAAGTCTAAGTTAGCTTAAAAGCAAAAAACTAGTATAGGAATATGAGATAAAAGAGAACAGCACAATTTACCATATATAGAGAGAGAACTGCGGTAGCAAAGAGAGGATGTGTGCGTGGACGTGGAAGAAGGTGGTTTAGCACAAGATCAAGCTTAGGCTTTCCCCCAATTAAACCAGTTTGGCAGTTTCTGAAGCTTGTTTAGAAAACATGTTTGAGGTCATTAAATAATGTTTGAGGCTACATGCGTCCTTTGTTAACTATTATAGATATATTATTTAGGCTTAGCCCATTATTTATGGACCCACTCACTAAATGAGAAATCCTAAATTTCTAAGGAACTTTGGGGCAACCGTCATATATAAGAGGGGTTTTCATCCTTTTTCGTCAAACAATATAGGTATTAACTTTACCTTACACATTATATATATAACTCTTACTGACTTTAGTTTTGCCTGCCAGGTGTTGCACCCCTTATTCCACTAGATCATATGGATAAAATACTCGCGGCCACTACCATCAGCTCAATTCCATAAAAGCTTAAACACAACTTCATATTATATCAAGGTATTAGGTATACATATCGAACAATTAACATATTTTAGAGTAAAATTTGTAATTTTGATGCCCAACCTCTCAACTAAATAAAATTTGTAGGTATATGTATATAAAAAAAATACTATCATAATTTCATATTATTTATGTATCTCTATTGATAAATATATATATATATCAAAAAGTAATTTTTATCAATGAATTCAAGCAACATCCTATTATCAAAATTACTATTTAAATAAAAAACTTAACATAAATTGTTTATCCCTATATAACAAATTTGAGTCTTCATTTTTAAGAGTGTAATAAACTCTGTACGTACTATCTTTTTTAACATAGCCATATCTCTTTCACATTTTATGACACATGTCTTATGAGCTTTTATATCAAATCAAATGCTTAAGTTTCTCCCATCAACATTAGACATAATTGAAATTGGCTGTAAAACAATGTTTTAGGAGTAAATAATTTTTGATTTTATTTTGGTAGAAATTTTTGAATTTTTTTAAAAGTCAAAGTTTCAAACGCATGTATTTTTTAATGGAAAGAATTAATTTACAAAATCAATTTACAGCATTTTTCTTTCAATTAAATTAATATATTTAATTTGTTTTCTCAAGATTTTATCTATACATGTTCTTGGAATATGCATTGGTAATATATTGTCCGCTGTGGAAAAAAATTGATTTACATTTTTGAATCTTTTAAAAGAGAAATTCTCTGTCTTTGCTGACTATAATTGTTTATTGAGTGTTTTTTACATGAGTAAAATTCATACCCCTTTTTTTATTTACAACTTTTTTTTGTGTGGTTGTATATATTGATTTTATTTCTTTTTAAAAATTGGAGTGTTGTTTTACGTTTAGCTTTTTTTTTTTTTTTTAAAATTATTTTAATGTAGAGCTACCGTTGCTATTGTAATGAAATTGAATTGTTTTTTGGTGTTATTTGTATTTCATTTTACAACAGGAATGGAAATTTTGGTGATTAATAAGTGAAAACTATCAAAGAGAAAAATCAACGAAGATATATGTATATATATGGAGTATGAAAATTTCTTGTACATATTCATTAACAACTTATTTGTTTTTTTTTTTTGTATTTTTAAAATATCTAAACACTGATTAAATAATTTATGTGAATCCGATGACATTTAAATGATTTTAGACATTTGTCGTTGCTTGTTCCATATTTATTTTTAATTGTGAAGTTTTTTGTCCTTCTACGTTGATGTTCTTCACAGGTCACGACTAGGGGTATAAATGGGTCAAGTTAGGTCAGACTTTGACTTTGATAGTCTAAGTCCATCTAAAATATTTAGAGCCTATACTGACCTCTCAGCTTATTAAAGACTTTATTTAAAGTCTACCTCCTGGCATCTCTTGCTCTTTTTCTAATAGAGTTTGTAAGCTTCAAAAGTCACTGTATGGATTGAAACAGGCAAGTCGCCAATGGAATGCTAAACTCACTCACTCCCTTCAATCATTGGGTTACAAGCAATCTGTTGCAGATCACAGTCTCTTTGTTCGCAGAACTCCCAATTCCTTCACAGCATTGCTAATATATGTTGATGATGTGGCTCTAGCTGGTGATGATTTAAATGAAATCCAACGTGTTAAATCTACTTTACACAGTCAATTTCGAATCAAAGGCCTTGGTCCTCTTCGTTTTTTCTTGGGATTGGAGGTGGCTCGATCCAAGCAACATCTGATTCTTAATAAAAGGAAATACACTCTTGAATTGTTGGTTGATTCTGGTCTCTTAGCAGCTATAAGAACCCGCACCGTTAATTAAGGAATTTAATTAATAAATTATGAGAAAATAGGAAATGATTCCATAATTGACCCTAATAATTATTATGAGGCTTTAATAATTATAGTAAGTGAGTAATAATGCTGAAAGTTGCTTTTCGGAAGAAAAGTGCAGATACCGATTCTGCTAGTCGGTATAAATGAGTACCGAAAAAGTATCCCGGAAAATTATAATAAGTGCATGATAATTACTAGAATGATATGTAGGACTTGTAAAACGAGTTTCAAGTCCAAATAATGAGAACTGGTG